ACAAGCACGAGGACCCGAGTTCGATCCCCGGTACCAAAAAACAAAACATAGGTGATAAACTCTTAAAGTCATCACTCTCCATTTGACCATGCTTTGCTGCTGTCTGCTTTCTCATACTGTTCGCCCCTGGCGCCCCTGGCGCCCCTGGCTGAGGGAAAGCGTGGGGCTGCTTCCCAGCCCCTCCAAGTGATCAGCCACCATGGTGAACTTTCAGCACTGAGTTGCTAATGGTGAGTCCAGGCCTGGCTTATTCTGTTGATTGTCTAGAGTTACTAGAGCGATTGGAAATGTAAATAATGCAGGCTAATTCAGAATAAGTTGTGGCTGTGGCCACCTGGCTGACAGAGCAACTCCCAGCTCCCAGCAGCTGCAGCATGCTGCTCGGCCTCGGTGAGCACAGCACCCAACCCTGCAGCCAGCAGTAATCAGCTGCAGAGCAAGGCCCCTGCTGAGTCAGCCAGCAATCCGGCCTCTACTCAGGGCCAGTTTACAACACTGTTGTCAAGGACAAAGTAATAAAAATCAAGAGTGAGTTTTGGAAGATAAACCAGTCACACTGAGTTATAAAATGAAAGCAGGTAAGTGTTTCGGTTTAAAATGTGTCATTTCTAAACTTATCTTAAGAAAATGTTCAGAGGAACACATGATAGGTTTCAACACCTTGGTATTGTATGATTCCTGTCAGGTCCCCAAGACCCTGCATCCCTGTCCCCAGTGTGACTGTGGTGACCACAGGCTGCCTGCGTGTTCTTTTACCTGGTGCTGGTGAAATCAGACCTGGACCCTTCCTGTGGTGCCTCTTCACAGCCAGATGTGACAGCCCCTCTGTCCTGTGAGCAGCTCTCGCTGGGTGACAGCACAAGGCTGCACAAGGACTCCCTGGAGTTGTCACACACAGGTGCTCAGAGAAATCCCTGGTATCCTGTGTCCAGTTGGGAGTTATTCTCGGTGGGTTGGGGGAACTGGGTTCCAAATCTATAGCAGGGACCGGCCAGGCCAGGCAGCCCTCCTTGGACAGTTGGACAGTGTCCCAGCCACGGCTGCCCAGAGCAGGGCAGAAAGAGTGCAGGTCAGGGATTTCCCAAAGCAGACACATCCCGGGATGTGAGCATTGCAGAGAGGAGCCCAACACCAGCCAGCCTCAGTTCAGGAAACAGAGCTCAGCCCTCCACTAAATTATGTATATGCAGTGGGGTTTTTTTTCATTTATACTCCAATATTGTTTTTAAAAATGTATGAAGACACAGTGTGAAATATACAACAATTCAAATAACCAGGCTGGATTTTACAAGCAGTGCTGAATGAATTAAAGTAAGAAGGAATGTGATTGAACTCTTTATATATGTTCAAAATAATAATACTGGGGAGAGGGGGAGGAGGAAAAGGAATAAATAATGATCAAGATATCCAGGTGTGGTAGTGCACGCCTCTAATCCCAGCACGTAGGAGGCTGGGGTAGGAGGAGCGCCACGAGTTTGAGGCCAACCTGGGCAACACAGTGAGTCTAAGGTCAGCCTGAGCTATGCAGCAAGACCCTATCTCAAAAAAAAAAAAATGATCAGGATATGAGATACATGTACCTACCAATTCCCTATTTCAAATGTAATTATTACATGTCACAAATGTATACCAGTAAAATGATTTTTTAAATAATACTAAACACACATGACATTATCTGCAAGCCAAACACTATCCCTCGTGTTTTACACAGATCAGAGTATTTAGACTTCCCGTTAATCTGTGAGGTACAGTAGATTTTTGCCATGAGCAGAAACTGAGGCATACAGAAGGCAAGTAATTTTCCCAGAATCACACAGCTAGTGCTAGAACTGCAGTCAACCCTATGAACAAAGATGTGCACACAGACAATTCCCATCTTAAAAGGACAGGAACCAAGGTACACATACACAACCATCTCAGAATGGAGGGTGGGTGGAGGAATGGATGGGAGAAAGTGGAGATTGAAGGAGGAATGGGTAGTGGCCAAACAGTAGGCAGGAAGGGACAGTGGGAAAGAGAAGGAATATGCATTGTTCTCTTAGTCTCCATTGCATTGATTTCTGCCCTGATCTTTATAATTGCCTCCCTTGTATGAGCTTTGGGGTTGTCCTGCTCTTCTTTTTCTAGAAGCTTGAGGTTTAGCAT